ATGCTCGATGCCCTCATGGACCCTCTCTTAATTCAATGAGAATCCTAGATTATTTAGAAAAAAAGCTACATATTATTATTACCACAGAGTTTTATAGAAAAAAATATATGCAGAACTGTTGCATCGATGAGTAAATTTAAATATACAGTAAATATTGTTGTACATTCATAAATTACTATGCTATTTCTATCATTCGAAGGGTTTTCTAGTAATGGTCTCTTGATATTTTTTTCATTATATATATGATTATTTATTCTTAGTATAAAAAGTTATAACTTCATTATTCAGTATTTGATAAATACTCATTCGTAAAAATTACTAATACTTATCAATACAATAATATATTTATATTCGTACCCATCTAACTTTAAAATGTTTTTCCTCTTCTGATCAACAGCAAGCATAAAAGTATATCCTTGTTAAAAATTAAACTCACCAGTAACAGTATCTGTCAAAAAAATTCACAAAAGGTGTGGGTGTAGGTGTGAGTGTGTGTAGGTACGAATTGTTTTGTGTTGTGGATGATCGGCACCCACACCCATACCCACATCCACACCCTGTTTTTAGAACTAACTTTTGGTGTAATTTAACATTTGTTCTCTATAAAAGTTAAGGAAAATGGATAAGAAAAACTCTGATAAATGAAATATTTACCGTAAAAACCTTCTTTACTTCTAATAAGTCTCATACAGATAGACGTTTCCCTTATCATTCTATCGAATAGTTAAGACTCGAACTCGATAACTATCAGTACTGAAGACTTATTCAAACAATTATGACTGGTATTTTAAAGATAACCAGATAATAGCAAAACAAAGAGTGATTAATTGAGCAGTCGTGGATTTGTCTAAAAATTGTGACCCGCCTGACCTATCATAGTACAAACAATTTGTTGATCTTGACAGTCTCGCCATAGATAATGCCGTGGGTGGGTGTTGGTGTGGATATGAGTGTCTATCTTCTAATAGCAATTCATACCATTATATACTTTTATCAAAGGAGGCGGGCGCATAAGCACGCAAATCGGCTCATTTTATTTTTCCTTTTGAAAATATTCAAAACATGCACAGAACTACTCAAAAAAATGCGCTGACCATTTCTACGTAGGAAATAAGGGGTTCTATAAGCATTTCATAGACCATATATATACGTGCCTTAATTGGAGACTTGTATAGATATCTAAAATGACACCACCTACTATCGCAAAAAAAAATCTTCCAAAAACTTAAGAAACCATCTCATTCGACAGACCTTGAAAAGCTCTACAAAGTGGTACTATTTCCAAGTCGAAAAACAATGGCCAGTGTGTGCTCACAAGAGCAATACTGTGAAAAACCCAGCAAAATCCCTGAAATCCAGGTTTTCTTCGACTATACTTGTATAGGATAACTTTCTTGCTTCAAGATGGTTTATATCTCATTCGATAGACCTTAAAAAGCTCTACAAAATGGTACTATTTCCAAGTCGAAAAAACAATGCTCAGTGTGTGACCACAATGACAATACTGTGGAAAATCCAGCAAAATCCCTGAAATCCAGGTTTTCTTGCACTATACTTGTATAGGATAACTTTCTTGCTTCAAGATGGTTTATATCTCATTCAATAGAGCTTGAAAAGCTCTACAAAATGGTACTATTTCCAAGTCGACCAAACGATGACCAGCGTGTGTCTGTATAAGCGTTAGTGGAGAAAATGCATCTGATCTTTCTCCACGAAGTTTTGTAGGCGATTTTAACATGGCTTGACTACTGATACAAATCAGCTGTGTGGAATTCGTGCATGATGGATATTATGTTTGGCGTATAAGTTCAGGACATGCTTTGCTTTGGGGAAAAGAATATGTATGGTTTTCTATATATGCTTACCAAATAGGAAGGAATGGGGGCTTTCGTGTATGATCAGGAAAGATGGGACTTTGCAGGAACGGCTGCATTGTGCGGCAAGGTAATCAGGAGGGTCGCTTCACGTTAGTTTCGTTGCTTGATAACCCTTACCGATTGTAATATAGTTGCAACATCTGCGCTGTTCTATTAGAAATTCCCTAGAGAATGCTGTGGCGTATCTAAAAGTCTTAAGATGTTAAAGATGTATTCAAACGCACTCGTTGCAAGACAAGGGGCTACACTTTGAAAGCTCTTCATGCTTTAAGGGATCTATCTAAGACATAGATGGAATGTATTTGGTGCTTATTCATATTCGTAGTGTTGTTGATAATCATGCGGACATCCACGTATTCATCCACACCGCCACCCACACATTCATCCACACTGTCACCCACGCGCTGATCTCTAGTTTCGTCACTGGCCCTCTATTTATAATCAGTGGTGTTCACGCGGAGAACGACACGCACATGAGAAATCGAAATGCACTGGTACATTTGTACATTTCATTTATACATTCATCTTCATTCTTTCGTAATGCCCCGTGAAGAGCGTTATCAATGTTTCTGGTGCAAGATACAAATCAATCATGGTAGTCGCAAGTATTCGGCAAGTGGGTCGCTGCTATTGCGAGTTTTTCTGGCTGCGAACTCTGGAAGACGAGTTGATTCTGACGACTCTATTTGTGGAGCTTGTCGAAGACAGTATGATCGGTGGCGAAAAGCTATGGAAAATGACTTCGACCACCTTGATGTACCAATAAATAAAAAGGATCCTCAAGAGAATGAAGAGCCTATGGTAAGTTTCTCAGCCTGATCTTATTTCCGAATCTATGTTTTTTCTATAAGCTGATGGAAGTTGATACGGATATCGTGGTGGAGGAAGAGGACATCGAAAGTGAGAAGGAAGAAAAGCATGAAGAGGAAGAAACGAAATCAGTGAATTTGTCAGTATGGCGTACATCAAAGTCACATGGGTATAATGGTTTATCACTAATGTACCGCTCTAATCATTATTTACTTTTTAACTAGGTCTTGCATAGCTTGTCCAGTAACTGATTCAAAGTCTATGCGGGTGTTATCAGATGAATAACGGACAATGATTTTCCTTAGTAGGAGCATTTGGGTATCAAAAGGTATACGCTGTTGTTCCAAACATCTCTACAAAGAATATCTGTCATATGAAGCCCGACAATCAGTCAAACGATCAACAGCTGATGATATTCTTCTGAATAAACATGATGTAGAGAAACTGATTGATGATTTTCGTTTTGCTCTCAAGCATGCTGGTTCACTTGATTTCGACGACCCAGGAGCTCTGGACAATGAGACTTATAAAACAATTACTGGACTTGATCGAGGTACGTTATTTAATTTTTCTCACTAAGTTTCTCAGTTTGTCTAGTTTGAACTTCAGATCATTTTAACGATTTGCTGGATAAGTTAACTACTATGCGCAATTCTCGTCTTCGCTCTGTCCGAGTGGCGTTGGCAATATTTCTTGCAAAAATACGTCTTGGGATGAGCAACCGAGTTCTTGCTTGCCTATTTCGATTAGCATCCAAACGAAGCGCCTCTCACATCTGTCATCAAGTACGAGTAGCCCTCATACAGAATTTCGTACCCTATCACGTTGGCTTTCAACACGTATCAAGAGAGACCATTCTTGCTCAACATCAAACGACGGTGGCAACAGAACTTCTTACCAATGGTCCAGACCAAGTTGTTCTTGTTGCAGATGAAACTTACTTTTTCTGTCAAAAATCATCAAATAGTGAGTTCCAACGACGCACATACAGTCAGCACAAACGCCGGCATCTTGTGAAACCTATGGTTATAACTGCTAGTGTAAGTATCTACTGAAGTTCAGAATTACATTGGTAGATTGTTACTGATTATTAAGAAGCGAGAATAAAGTCATTTGGCCAGAGCCGATCTTTGATTGATTTGAACAAAGACATTTATATTTCACTGGACAATTTCTTATCTTATAGGATGGTTATATCATCAGTTCCTTAGGACCATTTTTCACGGATTCATTAAATAACGATGCAGCCATTCTGAAGCACTGTATTCTTAACGATGAACAACAAGTGTTGTCTTGGCTTCGCGATAATGATGTCATGGTATTAGATCGTGGGGTAGGAGACGAACTTATAGAATTGTTGATAATTGTTTGCTTTATTATAGTTTCGTGATACTGTTAATGCACTAAATCGACTTGGTCTTAAAGTTGCTATACCTGCTTTTCTACACAACCAAAAGCAGCTCCCTGCCGATGAAGCTAATCAAACCCGATTCGTTACGAAGAACCGATGGGTTATTGAAAGTGGTAAGATTTAAACTACACAATACATAGTAGAACGAAAGCTCAAATACTATCATGCTATCACTATTTCGATAATTTAGTTAATGGAAAGATAAAACAGTGGAAATTCATGGCGCAGATCATTCAAAATTCGACCTTACGGTTTATTAGCGACTATTTAGATATCATTTGTGCGCTTATTAACAAGTACCAATGTCCAGCTGTGAAAGATACCGAGAACGGTAGAGAAATTGCAATGAAGATGCGCGAAATGCTAACAACTGAAAATCGATTACAAGAAAGGCTCGTGCAACACACTCGTACAGCATCACTACATTGGTCAAAGCACAACGCTTCCAATTTTCAATTTCCACCACTGACCGAAGAGAATATTCGTGATCTTACATTTGGTAACATCAAACTAATCACTTTTAGCATATTAAGCGCTTTCTTTCTGTTAAGGTTCTTATCAAATCAGGATGGCAAAGTCGTACATCATCGAGCACATCAGACAGTCCCAAACAAATAAAGAAGAAATGGAATTTATCATAGAACTTTGTAATGAACACGATGATTTAGTTCGAGCACGATTTCAATCCCGTCACTCAAACAGCAAGAGCCATACTGCTACTATACAATTTGACCACCACAAACAACAGCCAATCGATGCATGGTATTGCACTTGTTCTGCAGGTGCACGAGAAGTCGGTATGTGCTCTCATGTAACAGCCCTTCTATGGCACTTAGGTGTTAACAGGGCTGTTATTCCATCCGATAATCATCCGCTCTCTGCATCTCGATTGATCAATGCCATCGACGACAGTATGCACTTCAGCGAAGGCGACAGCAACTCTGATGATGACGATGCCTCCTCTGTAAATGATTCAGCTACGAACAACAGCGAAGATGATCTATCCGGATGAAAATAATTCTTAAGAAAATTTTACGTATTTATATTTTCGTGTAACTGTTTACTAGATAAACGCGCATTTCTGACATCGTCCACGTACACAAGAGTCAAAGCTGCTTAAACCTTCATCGATAACAAAAACCAACTGGCACTACCACATAAGGGTGACATATTTACTTTACCTTTTAGTTACGTTACTAAAGTAAACTATAGTAGTAACTACTTTACTAGTAAAAGTAACTACAGCAGTTACGTAGTTATGTGTAAATGGTGACTAATATAGTTACTTACTTGTAAATGGTAACTACGGTAGTTACTAGTAAACTATAAGTAAAGTCCTATCCCTACTTCCAGAGGACTTCCCGAAAAAAGCGTATATAATCTACTTCCGACCTAAAAACTAGTACCATCTTGTAGAGCTTTTCAAGCTCTATTGAATGAGATATACACAATCTTGAAACGAGAAAGTAACCCTATACAAGTATAGTCGAAGAAAACCTGGATTTCAGAGATTTTGCTGGATTTTCCACAGTATCGCCCTTCTACTCACACACTGGCCATCGTTTAGTCGACTTGGAAATAGTACCATTTTGTAGAGCTTTTCAAGCTCTGTCGAATGAGATGGTTTCTCAAGTTTTTGGAAGATTTGTGAAAGTTTTTTTTTGTTGCTTTATTAGGTGGTGTCATTTTAGATATCTATACAAGTTTCCAATTAAAGCACGTATATATTTGGTCTATGAAATGCTTATAGAACCCCTTATTTCCTACGTAGAAATGATCAGCGCATTTTTTTGAGTAGTTCTGTGCATTTTTTAAATATCTTCAAAAGGAAAAATAAAATGGGCCTATTTGCGTGCTTATGCGCCCCCTCCTTTCTTTTATTTATTATTATTTTTTTTCCTTACAAAGAATTTTCTCATAAATTTCTCTTGTATATTGCCGTAAATTATCACCATCTATGCGTTCATTTAACTTATTCAAATAAGCATCATTTAATTCATCAAATTCTGTTGGATTATTTGCAATACTCGATAAAAGATCAAATGTTAAATCACGAAATAAATCTGTATTAAAATTCGTTACACTCATTTAAAAATATTAATACTACAGAAAAAAAAATAGATTATTTTTCTTAAAGAAAAAAACATGTTTTTTTTTTATATAATGAGTAAAATAAAAGCTAAAAATTCATTGTTAAATATCTGAATAAAATAAATAAGATGAATATATATAGAACCCATGTCTTAAAAACCGGGCCAAAACCGGCGGTTTACCGCGATTTTACCGGTCCGGTTACCGGCTCCCATTACATAGAATTTACCGCGGTTTACCACTAATATAATTCAGTTAACCGGATCACCGATGATCTTTCAAAATTTATTGCTCCAGATCATCGATTGGACCATTTTAAGCATCTTTTTTAAACTGGTCGATATGAT